TGACATTACAGAGATTGCACCAGAAGTGGATGAGAATGCAGCTGTCTTCGATTAAGGCAGACATTAAAGAGATTTGTAAAAATAAAAAACAATGTCACTCTTTATAGTAGGTTTTTTAGTGATCTATAATTTAAAATGTTATTTATGCTAACATGTGATGGCTTTTTGTTATTTTAAAATAAATTAATAGGTCATTATTTTTAAAATTTCTCAGTTTTAATTGAAATACTGTAAATGACAGTAATACAGTAAATGACCTAGAGAAAGAAAAATAATTCAGGGTCCTTAATAATTTATAGATATGTAAAGAAATCAGGAGACCAAAAAGTTTGAGAATATTTGCTCTAAAGTGGTACTCTCCACTGTTTGCTAAAAGAGAGAAAAAGTTTCGACTCTGGCTTTGCAATATTCCTTATGTTGTTACTGACTGCCCATCAAAACGATGTCAGAACACTTAAATTTCTCTCAATCGCTTTTCTAGCTTATTTATCCCTAATCGCCATGCTTGGGTTTCCAAAGAAAGAGGAATGATTATTGCTTACCTGTGCTCAATCGCTTCCTAGACCAGGAAGTGGTCTGGACGGTTTCAGGTCTCTCTCTTTTCAGGAGGCTGTGTAGAAAGTGGTAGCCTCCTCAGCAGGCAGCAGGGAATGCAAAAAGCATTGAGAATCACACGCCTCGCCGCTCATTTGTGCCAGCCCTTCAGAGGAAGAGGGAGGAACTAGGAAGAAAATTGGAGGGAGGAGACTTGGCACGTCTTGGACCCGCCTTTAACTGTGGGCTCTCAGGGCAATAGAACTTGAAATAAATTGTCAAAGAATGTGGGTATTTTTTTAATGTACAACCATTATTTTAATGAAATAATTTCTTCTGTAAAAGTTGAAGTTCTGACTGCCCAAAGTTTGTCCCTCTTTCAGAAGTATATCCAAGCAACTTTAAAAAAAGCATCTGTCAATTGAAAGCATCTTTTTCACATTAATCTGTTTAAGACTTTCTTCTCGTACTTCAGCACAAAACTTTCTTAAACAGTGCTGAATAATTAGCCCTATTAGAATAATTCATGTAATGTAATTATAGCACCTAAAACATAACTTTTGAGAAGCAGAATGTAAATATCACAGTTTTGGAAATAATAGTAGAAACAAAGCTTTTTAGACAATTTTTTTTTCTTGAACATATGCTAAATCATACTACCTTGCTAGCAAGGTAATTAGCAAAGTGACTTTTGGTTTTTGCTTTTTTGCCAGTACAGAGACTATAAGGAAACAGGGGTTCTAGAGTTAGGAAAAAAAAAATGCTTACATTAGCAGCTAGTTTTATATTTTGTTTGTTGGTTTGGTTTTCAACAAGAGTGTTTTAATTTTATAAGATCATAAAAACATCATGGCCACAGTAGTGATTACAAAATAAGTCTATGGCAGGATGATGGGAGGTACTTGGTGTGGCGGGTATCAGAAGAAAAAAGTGCACATTTAAGAAGTGTATGATAAAAAAAGAGAGGAGTGTATGATATGAATGCACATATGATTGACATTGAGATAACGAGTTTTCATCCTCCAACTGTAATGTCCAATTGGGCCAGTCAACATGAAAGTATGAAGTGGAGTCAAACAATGATCAGTAGCAGAGGACCAAACAAGTTAATTTTAAATGGCTTATTGCCAATTACTTTTCTCCAACTGTAACAATGTAGAATGCATAACAATCTATTTCTTAGTTTTGGGACACACATTTTTTTTACATTTTTATATTTTATAGAGTAACCCAAATGTTCTACCTACTTCATAGGGTTGTTTGTGAAGATTATATGAAATGATGATAGCCCTTTGAATATTTTAAACCACTGGAAAACTATAACCCTCCACACCCTCTCACTTATTTGTACTCATTTAGCTTATGCAATGGAGACAAGATTTTAAAAGTAAAATAAAATGTCCATAGTGTTCTCTTAATCTGATGTAGACATTTATGTATTAGGTAGAATAATTTTTTCCTGGAAATATTTTAAGAACTAGCTAACTACCTGTTTAGAGATCATACACTGTGAAGGCTGGGAGAGGAATTAGATCAGTATTCTCCACACTTTGGGATTTAATGGACCATAATAATAATAACAATAATTATAATAATGAAGACTAGATAAATGCTGAGTGCATAACTTTATATTTTAAGTAAGGACATTAAATTTTATTAAGTTTAAGATTAGTTCATGAAAGGACACTTTTTAAAAATATATATATATATATTATTGATTTTTTAGAGAGGAAGGGAGAGAAATAGAAACATTGATCAGCTGCCTCCTGCACATCTCCTACTGGGGATGTGCCCGCAACTAAGGTACATGCCCTTGACTGGAATCAAACCTGGGACCCTTCAGTCCGTAGGCCGATGCTCTATCCACTGAGCCAAACTGGTCAGGGCTATGAAAGGACACTTTTAACACCAAAAAACATTAGGAAGGACATAGTGTTAGAATAAAGGCAATTCTTTAAAGTAAATACATTGGCTTTATGGGATTTTCATTACTTTTTCCCTCACTTTACCAGAGATGGGGAAAATTTCAACGTAGGTGGTTATCAGCTCTCAGACAATGATTGGGATCCTTTCAAGACTGTCCGTGACTGCACCACATTTATGTAGCCTAGTTTTACTGAGTGACTGATATTTCACAATATCAGCAAATAAAGTTAGACCCATTGAGTATGTGTGTTCTAGGAACTTATTTAAAACAACTGGCTTTCCCACAGACAGCCAATAAATAAACATATACACGTAATACTGACAAGTCTGTATGACACCTACCATTTAAATAAGCCAAAGGGGGAAAACATTAAGATGTATGTGTTAAATATAATTTGCCAAGGTGTGTCAATTATTAACAAAAGTCGGGTGGGTATCCCCTCACAGAAGAGTATTTATTCAAGAAAAAGAAAGGTCACAATCCCAAATGCGCAGCCATGGCTCACCACGGAGCTTGTCGCCCGGATGAAGAAGGGGTAGCCCTAGCTGGTTTGGCTCAGTGGATAGAGCCTCCGCCTGGGGACTGAAGGGTCCCAGGTTCGATTCTGGCCACCGGCACATGCCGGGGTTGTGGGCTCGATCCCCAGTAGGTGGCGTGCAGAACAGCACATCA